TATATATATATATATATATATCATACTTAAATGGCTCCTATGTAACAAACTTTTTTGATAACAAATCGTATTTCAACTCGTGATTTTTTTTTTTATCTCATCTCCCCCGTGGTCAAATATCCATTAAATATACGAATGAATCCATCGGGTATAGGTATCATTGCAGTATAACTAATGATCAAATAGACATGGGGTTTATTTGCCTAACGAAATGATCTTGATGTCTTTCGAAACCGAACAAAAACTAATGGAGTTCAGAAACATAATGGAGTCACGCTGGCGGCGCGGGATTAATACATTAACATACAGAATTGATTGAAGCGGGATCGCCACGAGATTCCATAGCGCTAATAAACGTTTTCTAGTCGGTCTCGGTTGATTGTATATAACGTAACCTAGTTACAACGTGAACCGTGACCTAACGTCACTGCTCTCTCCGTGTTGATGTTTTAGGTCGTCATCGGTAAAGAGTGCGGAGATAGCCACCTAGCTGCCGGGTTTGTGTGGGTTTCTACGAAGATGGATCTATTCACCTATTTTTGTAACATATTTGCGATCGTGCTCCTGCAAGTCAAGTGCCTTCAGTCATATATTGATCTACGAGAGAAGGCCGATGCCGATAAGAGCTTCAGTTGGAGAACAGGTACACGCGCACAGATACGTAAACACACACGTACGCGCACTCGCACGCATATAAGTACACTTGTAAGCAGGCGAAAGCATGCACGTACACACGCACGCATGCACGCATGCGTAAGCATGATCACATGCGTTTTTTCGCGCAGGTTATTGCGCAAAAAATAATCACACGATGTTATTAGCTATAACATGACTACAGGTTGTTAATAATCTATTAGATTGTTTTACGATATAGAGATACTCCTCACGTGCAACGACCTCGTAACCCTCTTCCTTTATAATCAATATAAAACCTTATTGTTAATGGAGTAGTAAAAGGCTTTTCTGCGCCCACTAGAGAACAATTTCCTCACTATAGGTAACATTAATTAATTATTTACTTCGTGGGGTGGAATTATATTTTTAAACATTGACGACGCACGAAGCAACACTAATGGCTTCATATTCAGCCGATGAATTCGCCGATACGTGTTCACGCGCCTTCCTGAAAGATTCCATTGTTAATCGAGGCGCCATATTATCTAGTGGTCATCACAATCGCATCGCATTATCAATGTATTTGCGAGTAATTCGTGTTATGCGCTTATCGTGCGTTATAACGTTGTCAGCGGTAACCGACTCGCGGCCGTTAAAGCCATTACGCTGCCTCGCCGTCAACGCCCTCTCTCTCTCTCTCTCTCTCTCTCTCTCTCTCTCTCTCTCTCTCTCTCTCTCTCTCTCTCTCTCTCTCTCTCTCTCTCTTATAATAATTGCTCAATTATACGCTTTTCTAAATATTTTATTTAAGACAAATGTTAAGATATTAAAATAATAATAACTAGAGCACTCGAAGAGCACAGACCTCCGCCAAGGCAGCTCAATTCTCTCACTGTGAAAAAAATTATTAATTAATTAATTAATTAATTAATTGGATCCGGATCACCACCAAAATGTAATCAATTCTAGGTTACCCCATTTCTGACCTATCCTGAAAATTTAATTAATTAATTAATTGATTAATTAATTGGATCCGGATCACCACCAAAATGTAATGAATTCTAAGTTACCCCATTTCTGACCTATCCTGAAAATTTAATTAATTAATTAATTAATTAATTAATTGGATCCGGATCACCACCAAAATCTCATAAATTCTAAGTTAGGCGATTTCTGACCTATCCTGAAAATTTTATGACAATCCGTCCATAACTTTTTCAGTTAGGCTGTACACGCACAAACCAACAAACACACGCCGGTGAAAACATAACCTCCTGCCAACCCCTTGGCGGAGGTAATAATGTTAAGGCAATTCTCTATAGGTCCGTGGGGCGCCTGCGTGGGAGAGCAGTGTGGCCTGCGAGGCATGGAGACGAGGGTGGTGATCTGTATAAATAAAGAGACGGGAAGCATCATGCGAGACGAACAGTGCGATGAAATCAAGAAGCCGGCCTCTCTACGCACGTGTTTCATCGTCTGCGAGAAACATCGTCACGAGGTGTCATGGCGGTGAGTGCGAGTGGATCTCCATCGGTGATTTTTATAATTATATTATTATAATATTTACTGATCGTGTCGGTAGATATACTGATTTTGTCGGAATTGGTCATCTGTTTTTTAAATGAACTAATTGTTAATGGTTACAGTGAGGAGCATGAATTGCAAGTTCATGAGCGTCGATTTTATTGGTTTATTTATCTTTATCAGATTCAGGATTTATTGTTGTTTTAGTTTGCAATTTAACTGGAATATTTGGCTAGCTGTTTTAATTCAATATTATACTATTGTTTAGATTGTAATGCGTGTTAGGTTTTTGTTTGTGATTGCGACTGTTTTAGTTTGCGTTTTACTTTGTATTTATTATTCTTGTGTTATGTACACATGTTCTAGCCTACTGATTAACGTGTAATAGGTGGTTCCAATACTGACATGCTTTTAACCGTCATCGCACTCGAACGTCCCTTTTCCACATACGACGCTGATTCATACACTATATATATCTAGTTGCAATGCTACAAGCAATCTAAGCTTCATGCGAAAGAAAAAAGAAAAACTATGCGTCACAATTCATCAAAAGTTCGACGTTTTTATGAAATCGCGTAGTTTGGATAAGAAGTTGAACGCCGATGTGTACTTGTACATCGATATTTGCTCCTTAATGCGCCCTATCCATCTCGAACATTAAACTAACCCGCCCGCCTGTCAACTGCTCCCCTTCCCTGGTCACGCTTTCTGCCTGTCTTACTAAAAGCCATAGCAACGGACCGTTAAGTTTTTGTTTTGAACCGCTTCTCGGTAGCTTTTAGTCTCTGCCTTTCATGCCAGCCACGGTAACGGAAATAGCTAGTGTGTCGCTAATTAACTTCGATCAGTGCGCGCTTTCATAGAAAAGATGAGAGCCCGAATTAAATAGGCCTACGCGATTGTCTCTCTAAAGTAAGATACGTACTCTATAACATGCATAATAGAGTTAATCTCGGTTTAATTAAGGAGATTTTCCTTTATAAATGGTTTTAATAGCGGGTAAGATTGCTGTGTGGATGTCTAAAAAATAGTTAGTTAACTTAAGGGTTGATTAAATTAATCGAGAAAGACGTCGGTAACGTATTTTATATTCGAGTTAATGTATCTTTCCGAAACTCCCCATATCACATCGATCAAACATGACTTGTTTTCTGCGAGTATTCATAAATGGAAATTTTGTTAATGCCAAATATAGATAGCCGGGTTTCAACGAGTTTCGATTGAAACTATTATACATTACATGCAAAGTCACTTAACTGTGGCTTCCTGGTCTTAGCAAAGCATTGCGTCGTTTGTCGTATTTTTCTCATTAATTTATCTCTTTTGTGGAATTATTTTATTTAGGGGCGTAGTACGATTATCAACCAAAAAAGTCAGCTGCACACACACGCGCGCGCGTGTGTGTGCGTGTGCATGTGTGCGTTTGCGTGTGTGTGTGCGTGTGCGTGTACGTGTGTGTGTACGTATATGTTTTCGTCTGCCTGTGCGTGTGCGTGTTTTACATGAACGTTTATACGATAAAAAACGCATAAAATAATTAACTGGCTTTAATTAAGTCATACCAGTGAATTCGGCGATAAATGTAATGTTGGAAGCCAAGGTAACTAAATTAACTACACGTAATTCAGTTTTTTACCCTTTACTTCCGTGCAGAATTGAGCCGTGGACCCGCTGCATTCATCCGGGGACGCTATCCGATTCCCGATGCGAATTTTCCACGCAGGGTCTACAGTACCGCAGCGTCAAGTGTGTCTTGAATATGACCAACGCGCTACTTTCTGACCACGTGTGCGAGCATTTCTTCCACAAGCCGCCGCGAAAACGCACGTGCGATATCCCGTGCCCGCAAAACTGCGTCGTCGCCGAGTTCGGCGAGTGGAGCGCGTGCGACTGTCGCCGCAACCAGACGAGAACGAGGCGGATTGTAATAGCGCCCTCCGGCGGTGGGAAAGCGTGTCCGCCTCTCTCCGAAGCTAGACGCTGCGTCTCGAAAAATCATCACGAGCATAAGAAACACGGCGCGCAGAAGGTCTCGACTGGAGCTAGGGACAACGCGCGCGCCGCCTATCGGGCATCCTTGGAAGACATGAGCCCGCAGGACCGACGCTGGTGGCATCGAAATCAGTTCACGATCTTCAAACGCGAGGCGCCCGCTGCGACAACCGCAGCGCCACCACCGGGCAACGACAAACGCACGCACGGCAACTGCAGTCACGAGCAGCGCGGCGCCGTGCTGCGTGGCGACGGCTGGACGGAGTGTGCGTCTTCTGACGAGGTCAATAGATGGAGCCAGCGCTCGCAGACTGTCCTTCCTGTAGCAACCGCAGTTAAGCCCGATCAAACCGTCGCTTTCGGGTCACAGACTAGACGGCTCACGTGTCGAGACAGCGATGGAGCGGTGCTCGAACGCAGGTGTGTAATTACACGTAATTATACCTAATTGCCGCGCGCGCAGGGGCCCAACTCCGGGGTAACGAACTGGCGAGAGGGGGGGGGTGATGTGGCTCGCGATGGATGTTACGAGTAGCAGGGAATATGGAATACGCACGCGGTGAATGGTGTGGTCGCGTCGCGGAGATGGAGAGCACACGATGCGATGACGCGACAGGAACTGCGCTCATGACGCATAGCTGCGGACGTCGTCGCCGGATGCAGTAACCAGCGCACATGACATTGTGACAAACGCGCGTGCGCGTGCGCGCGTACACACACACACACACACACACACACACACACACACACACACACACACACACACACACGTGACACACACACACACACACACACACACACACATGCACACACAAGCACGCACGTACGCACGTATGTGCACACAAGCACGCATACGCGCGCACACACATGCAAACACGCGAACGCACGCACACATACACAGTGTTTGTGCGTGCGTCTGTGTGCGTGCATGCGTGCGTGCGTGTACGTGCTTCTGTGTGCGTGCGTGCGTACCTACGTTACGTGCCTGCTTTCACTCTAGCTGTTCAGTGAATCGAGCTTCGCGGCGCTTAACGAATGTTGGACCCATTCTAAGAAGCTTGCATCTGCCTGGCTCACTCGTCAGTTAACCGCGCGCTAGAGTAAAGCCCCACTTAATGACACCAACCGTGAGGCAGCTAGGCTTGGCGCACGCAAGCCCACGTAATGCGATTGCATATACGCCTGGTGGTGACGCGTGGACAAGGTGGCTACATAGCAGCTTGCTATTACCGTCCCCGCGTCTACGCGCGGCCTGCTTCCATCCCCTACCCTCGTCACTGCCTCATTATCATCACTAATCGGTAGATCATTGCCTAGCTGACCTCGGGGAGGACACACGACGCGCATGCGCTAATATTTGCGCTGACCGCGCGCGGCGCTGCGGTCGAGGAGGCAGGTTCTTGAAATATTGCGGGAAGGTTGGTGAAATTTCGAATGCGAGAATTCTATTTCGCTGCCGACCGCAAATGGGTACAAACCAGCGAATGAGATGATATATACCTGCGATTGAATAAGTTAGGATATAAATATAAAACGAACTGTATCATTTGAATGTTACTATCACTCGCGGTAATAATGCATAAAAATAAATTGCAAAATCCGAAGAAAACATTTAAATAATAGCTCTCTCATCATACTTGGTTATTGCAGGTTCTTCAGATAGTGACATTCCTACGTATACATCAATTTAAATGACGGATCATATACAAATTTAGCCTTGATATGCATATATATTATATATATTTATATATATATATATATTATATATATGTGTGTGTTTATATATACTTATTTATTTATTTATTATATACATCGTCCCACTTGCGTTCTACAACTCTGTAAAATACGGAATTTCTATCTATGAAACCTCGATTAAAATGACGTTAACGTCAAATTTAAATCGTTGCCTCACGTGAGCCTCACCAAGTCAAACACTCTCGTTCACTGTCGGTAATCCACATGCGGAGTGCTACTGAAAAATTCGCCTAATTTTGCCATTTTTAGTTACATGCAAAATTTCAGCTGTAACCCTAATTTTCTATTAATCGAGCGCGACTACCTAGTGATGTTAAACATTTTTCGTACACGCGCGCGCGTTCGAGCGATGTACGAACAATGGTACCTTCGTTCCGGCCCGAGCTAGTCGGCACACTACATCGCAAGAAGGCTCATGTACCCGTGGGCTTTACTCTCGAAAATAGCCACTCATGCATGGGTACAGTGGCTATTTCTCTGAGTCAGGAGCTTCACCCACGCAGGCCGGCGTGCTCTGCATTAGCATAAAATCTTATCATGCCTCGTAAAATTTATTATTAATATGCGGCATCGTTTTATTACCGTTGAGCGTATTTTATATTTCCTAACTTATTAAAATATGGTAATTGACCGGTATTGTCGCCCTAATGAGTACGCGAGAGCAGTCCCGCACCGAACACCTCGCGGCATTATCATTAGTCGTAAATGTTGTAGTCACCACCTGCTCACAGTGTGGTTAGCGACGCAGTGACGCTATCGAGGAGCGCGTAGGAAGTCGGGTTTTTAATTGTCAAGCTGTCTCTTTGGACTCCGCGATACATACACATGGTCTTTCCTGTGGGATTTATGCACGTGGTCTTCCCGTGTGGGGCGTGTGCACATAGCCTGGTATGAGTGTACATGGTGCGGGATATATGCATATGATCAAGAGCTAATAAATTGGTGTTTGTTTATTAGCTCTTGATATGATGTGGTATTTGCATAGGTGATGTGGGATGTTTGTATATGGCGTGGGATGCATGTACATGGTGTGGTATGGGCTTAGGTGGTGTGGGATGTATGCATACGGTGTGGGATGCTTGTATATAGTATGTGATGTGTGTACGCGATGTGGTATGTATGTACGTGGTAGCTCGCTCTAGAATATAATTATGTACATTGCATACGAGATGCAAGGAAAACCGGCTACGTCACAGATTACACAGGGAATCACCGTGCATTTTAAACAGACAACCATGTACACACATAATCAAGAGTTGGGCAAGTGAATACTGCAGCTGGGATTCTGTATAATTATAGGTATACATTACCCCTACCGCCCACGGTGCTAATAACAATATAGACACTAAAATAAACCGAAGTAAAATGATCGAAAGAGAGAAGAACGAAACAGAGCGAGAAAAGAGCGAGAGAGACAGAGCGGGAGTGGGAGAGAGAGAGAGAGAGAGAGAGAGAGAGAGAGAGAGAGAGAGAGAGAGAGAGAGAGAGAGAGAGAGAGAGAGAGAAGAAGAAGAGAGAGAGAGAGAGAGAGAGTAGTACGTAGTTAGTTTAGTTAGTACGTAAGGTAAGG